GTCCTGAGGCGCGGGCGCTGCCCGGCCCAGCGCGGCTCCACGACCGCCGGGGAGGAGGTGGTGGGACAGTCGCTTTTGTCCTCCCAGCCCAGCCTCACGGAGCTGTCCTCTCGCCAGCCCTTACGGGGCTGTGCCCGGGAGCCCTCCGCGTGAAGCCAGGCAGGCCCGCCCTCAGCTCTTCTCCTGGCCACTGCAGGGTGAGGGGCTGTCTCCGCCCCGCCGGGGCCTGCCGGTGCCCTCACCGCTGGACGCCAGGCCCTCGGGGGAGCCGGCAGAGCGGGAGGAGGAGAGGCGAGGAGACTGAAGCTCCCTCATGGCCTCGTTCTCAGCGCCGCATCTGCGGGCTTGGGTTTTCCTTCACGTGCTGTAATGTCAGTGGCTGACTCACGTTTTTCAAAGGAAGAAAAAAAACCAAAACCATTTTCTCAGCCTCTTGCCAGGCAGCCGGTCCTGCATTTCTTCCCTGAATTGAACAAACCACGCACAGCCTTTCCCTGGCGCTGACACACAACGCCTTTATCACAACCTGCTGCGTGTAATGGTGAGCTGGTGCTGCTCTGAAGCACAGGTGAGATGTAGCAAGAGGAGCAGCCCTGGGAAGTGTCTCTGCATGAACACACGGATCTGGGCAGCAGCCAGCAGCTCCCCCACATTCCTCTTCCCTCCTGCATTGCCTTCCCCATGTATCTCCCTTCCTTCTGTTTCCTTGCCCCTGATCAAATCAACCAGCACTTTGAGGTACTTGAATGAAAACATCAAATAGATAGAGTATGAAATCCTGCAATGAAATTCTGGTTTTGTATTTAAAACAACTGTACCTCACAGAGCTCTTGCCTGTAGGATCCTTGGGTTGCTGTAGCTTTGAGTTGATACCTGCAGGAACAGCCTTCTAGCCCCACAAAATCAGACCGCCTTGTCTCATAACCTTATTCCAGCATGACACCTTTACTTAGGAGATCTGTGAACAGAGAAATCAAAGCTGCATGTGAAGCAGGAAAGGAAGGAGGATGACGTTCTGCTCTGGTTCCACTGTAGCAAGGACCAAGGGGTGAACTGTCTGACTTCCTGTGTATGTTACTTAATGATCATTTGTCTGTGGTGCCTCACAGACACCTATTGTCACATGAACAGTCATTAATTCAGCCACTGTCGACATGAAGCCAAAAGGCAGAAGTCTTACCAAAAAAATTGCATCTTAATTAATGTGCCAACTCTGAATATACACACAGGAACATCAATTAGTCAGCTTAGGGTAAGTCTTTCATAAGGGTGATTGTCATGTGGGGTTAACATGGCAATTCCTTCTGATATTTCTAAAGCTGGCTCAGGAGCACAAGAGACAGAGGGGTTCAAATATGGGCTGGTGTAGCTGTCAGGGGACACTGACGTCTCTGGGGCAGATAAGAGCTTTTGGAAGCCAACCTGGTTTTGCTCTGTGTCGGTGCCAGCAGGTGGCAACAGCGCCTTGCGGCCCCGGCTCCTTGCAGCAGCCGGCAGCTCCACTCGGCCCCTCGCAACAAACGGCTGCACTGCTCCTTCCCAATCCCCGCTGCTCTGTTACTGCTCATCCCTTTCCTGCGTGGGTCATGCAGCCCTTCGTGCCGGTGCATGAAGCAGTGCTCAAAGCCAGGAACTCAAAGCTGTTCGCTCAGCCTTGAAGCAAACATCTCCCTTCCAAAGGAGGGAGCAGCAGGCTGGGGAGAAGGGTGGGTTCTCCCTGTACCTGGATCTCTGTCCTAGGAGCTTTCCTGCTGTGCGAGTGGGGCTGTTATAAATGCATATTGTGATATTGGCTTTTTGCAAGTATTAAGATGAATGTTTTATGTATAATGTTAGAATAGCTTTTGCTATGTCTTTTCCTTTTTTCTCCTGCTATTAGCTAGGATTTAGGCATAGGTCAAGAATTTTGGACGTTAGAGTTAGGTCCTACCTGGACAAGTGAGATAACATCCAGTGAACAGATGAATGGGGCCTAGGCTACTCAGCTTCACTATCAATGCTCACTGCCTGTAGAAGAAAGAAACCAAGCCCAAATAAAAAGATTATAAAAGAGAAATTAAAATCAAATGCACGTGCTCTAAGAAGGCGGACCTGAGGAGTGGCCATGCAGAACAGTTTGTGGTAAAGTTTGAATATGAGCAAATCCATGTGGCAGGAATGGTATATAAAGGGTGTTTCAAAGCACCAGGCGTGCTCTTGGCAGAGAGCCAAGCACCTGGATGTTTTAACCCTTTGCTTTATTATCTTTGTCTCCTACTGTCTTTTTGTTTATATGAAACCTTTTGAAATTTATCAGGCTAGTGAACATCATTTTTCACAGGGCCAAGTCTGATTCAGCTTCCTCTGTCTACCCTGGGTAACACATTAAAAATTCAGGCATGGTAAGGATAAATCAACAGAGGATGGAGTGGATCACGGAGGGTGACAATAACTGTACAGGGAGATGGGTACAGCCATCAGGTGACTGGGGACATGGCTGGCTGATATTAGATCTGGTACCTTAGCTTTGGAGTCACTAAGGGACGTGGCAAGGGGGTTGGAATGAGATGACTTTTAAGGTCCCTTCCAACCCAAACCATTCTATGATTCTATGATTATTTGCAGCAGCAGCTTAGGCACCTTGAGCCTAGAGAGCCCTGAGAAGTGGTAACACTTTCCTAGCATAAACAGTTGTGGAGCAGAGTGCTTAACCCAAGAGCTGGGTTTTAAGTGCTCTCCCTAAAGGTAGAATTACCTAGCAGTATAGATGAGGGTCAAAATTTCCTGTAAAATGTGCTGCAAGAACAACTCTTTTAGTGCTGCAGTGCTTGTTTGGAGAGGAGTCATTTCTGGCTCCTTTTGGATACCGAGAGGCTGGAGTGGTTTGTGGCTGGAGTGGTACTGGGGAGAGCACTGATGTGGAAGAGCACTACTGCTGCATTATGCAGTTAATCAGTACCACTACAGGAACAGAAGGCAAGTTATCTTCTTGACAAGAGGATCCTTTTGAATCTGTAATGTTCCCAGGGCATATGGTTTTGCCCAGTGCAAAGTGGAGCTTTCAGGCTGTAGAAAAGAATGCACTTGTACAGAAAGAAGCAAGAGCTGGACTCATTGGCAGTTTTACTCTTTGCTTAGGTTTAGTTTTTGTCTGGACTTGGCCCCTGAGCTTCTGTATAGCAGATGCTACTCAAGCTCATGCCAAAACAGTCTCTGCCTGAGCTTGCAAGCTACACTGACAGTTTTAAATGGGGATGTTCTTCCTAGTCACCTTTCTTTGTGGTGAAGATTTTGAAGTACAGCAGTGCTTATCTGCTCTATTTGGGTGCACGACAGCTGTTGATAATAATAAAGTGATTTCTTTGTCTTGGAAGTAACATCCTTCTCCAGGCCTTAAATAGTCTTAATTTTAGGAAAGCCAGTGAGAATTCAAAGATGACCTTACAAGATCAGTCTGAGCTGATACTGTGGAAATCCACTGGTTCTGATGATGGCTCTTCAGATCTATGCTTGTATGGAAACTGTAGCAGACTGCTAAAGCTACATCAGTCTCCTTCCTGCTTTCAGATTGTATCACCAGAAATCTTGCAATATTGGCTGCACAGGGCTGATTTTCTGCTGATAGTGTGGCTCTTAAGGCTGTCTTGAGTGTTGAGCAAAGAAAAGAACCTTTATCTCTCAATCTTGCTGGCAGAGTGGAAGGAGCAAGAGTGATGCTTGCAGCTGTAAAGCTGAGAGTGCAGCTGGCACTCCTGTTGGCTCAGCAACCCCTTGCTTCCCACAGCGACTAATTCCTAAATTAAACGATGGTTCCTCCAAGCTGAGAGCATGGAATGCTTGTTTCTCCAAGTCATGTTTCTGGGTAGTGGTAGCAGGCAGTTCAAGAGGATTGAGGTGAATTGTGGGCTCTTGCAGGCCTCTGTGCTGTGCAGAGGCAGGAATGGATATGGCTCATGTAATTCTGGAGTGATTATTGTTTTCCTGCTGTTTTCTTCTGGCTGTCCTGGAAGCTGTATGCAGGTGAGTGGGGAGACTCCTGTTTAACAGAGCTCCTGTTTAATAGAGCTCTAAGGGATAGTTGCTGGCATATACTTTATCTGGGCGATGGAGCTGGCACTCACTGAGTACTTCGGAGGTGGCTCCTGTCTGGTACCACGTCATACCTATGAGAATTGTTGTAAAGGTTCCTTGAAACAGAGGAAAAAATGCTCTCCTGGAACTGATAGTGAGGCATTGTGCTTCAGTGGGTCAGACTTGCTTTTAAACTGGAGCTGCTAAATGTGGTTGAATCTCCTCTGAGTGACCCTCAAAAGTAAGGAGAAAGATAGCACTATCCAGAACTGCTGAAGAAAATAAGCTTGTTTTGATTGCATGCCTATTGCCTGGGCAGATTGGCCAAACACCTATTCTTCAACTCCTGTCCCAGTTAGGAACAGGAACAGTCAGCTGTTGTAGTGTTGGGTGTAGGATTGTGCCAACAGGGGAACAGGGAAGGGAGAACTTTCTAGGGAAGGGACATACAAGGTAAAAAGGGGAGGGACAGCCAACAACCTAACTGGTTATATAAACTGGGGTACAGCAAAATGGAGGTGCAATCACTATGGGAAAAGCCCTTCCTATTAATTTAAAATGGAGGAAAAACTTACACCCTGGAGGTTCCTTCCACACCATGGTAGCTTTTCGCTCTGGAGCCTCCACAAGCTGTAACTCTGGTAAAACAACAGTGTGGTCACACGTGTGTTTACAAAGATCTCTGCAATTCAGAATAATCACCTAACACATTCTGAGGTGCTTCCGACCCCTCTGTCCCCTCTGTGTTCCAGCTTTCTCCTGTGAAAATTGCATGGCACTTTCTGTACTTCCACTGCCTTAACTGCCGCTTTGTGAGGCCAGCTCCTATATGTGAGAGCCATTTGGAGACTCCTGGAAAAGAAACTCAGGGTTTCTACTGTCTGTGGAGACCCACGGTAGTTCAGCGCCAGTATAGTGCTGATCTCTGGGTCTGAGCTCAGCATGCAAGATTTCATGGACAGAAACCTAGAGAGCTGATATTCCCCTTGCTGACAGCATTTTTTCCTACCAAAACATGTTTTTCAAGCCATTAAACTAAAATATAACACTAAATAAAACAAATTATTCATATTCATGTACTTCAGAGGAAAGAACTGAACTAAACTGAACTGAGTCCATGCTCCCATTAACTCCCAACACACCCTGTGAAAGGGAAAACTAGAAAAAAATGAAAGACCCCTCTTTTATTTCATGGAATAGTTAGTGTTGGATAGGACCTTTTAAAGGTCATCTAGTTCAACCCTTTTTCAAGAGCAGGGACATCTTCAACTGGATTTGTCCAGAAACATTTCGAAACAGGAAGATGCAGTTACCTGCTTGAATTAGGATTTTGAAGAGCTTTCTTTCTTCTTGTAAAGCAAGGAGGCACAAAGCTACCTGCTCTTTTATGCCTCTTTGTGTTGAGGGACTCAGTGCCAGCATCAAACTTCATTAATGAACACTTCCTTGGCCTCTGCTGTCTGGGCCAAAGCCACCATTAACAGCTCTATCCCCTGAGGTTCTGCAAGGTTCACTCATCATTTATGTAAATTGCTCCAGGCCACTGCAGTGTGAGACTGATGAACTCATGGCTTCTTCTAGAACTGAAGTCACAAAGATTATATTTCTATCAAAATACTGTGTGTATGTTAATGTCAGCAAGAAATTGTATCCTGCCTTGGCTTCTATCCAGAGAAAGTGGTCTGTGGTTTCCAGGATATGAGAAATTGATGGGAGTTGATGAGAGATGCAGACTCACAATGACCAGCATCTACTTCTTTTATATCAAGATTGTCTATTAAATTACTCATGCTATACATCCACCATACTTTGAGGCTTCTACTGGGGGCACCACCGTACCTTGAACAGCAAATACATGGCAGGAAGTGTACAAGACAGCTCAGTGGCTACTTGTCTTCCTCACAGAGGAGATATGTTTGGCTGCTTCTAGGGTCTTGGTGGCAGTGAAAAGCCAACTGGGAGTGTTTCTCTCATAGCTTGCTCCTACCCAATGCAGCAGTTCTTAAATGTGGGATTGATTGTGTGTTATTTCTCACTGTTTTTGCCACATATAATGATGCTGAATAGCACTGACTCCCCCTTAAACCACTAACACTTCACTTGCAAATACTGAAATAACTCCACACCTCAGCTGAGACTAGTCATTGGAATGAAATGCCTCTCTTCCCCAGAACTGTTGTTTTATGAGTTTATGCGTCATTC